TGGTTATTGGAAAAGGGGGCGTAGAACCTCCCATACAAACCGAATTTTTCATACTGCATATCTCTGGAAGTGTTCATGGTAGAGTACTCGAACAAGGCAATGAAGATGAGCAATTGGCCCAGATTCGGCTCGTCTTGAAGAAGATGCAGAGCGCTGTCTCTAATCAGAAGAATGTGTCCATGGACATAAAAACGGGTATGGCCCAAATCGAGGAGAGCTTAAATATATTAAGCTACCTCCGAGAGCAGCGCCGGAAGGGGTCTACCCTTTGCGAGCTGCGGAAGGCTGGCCCTGCTCGCAAAAGAGAGTTCAAACTCGATCCGACTCCCCTACAAGCGAGCCGGAAAAGAAAAAGAACACTAACTATAATAATAATAGTAGTAATAAGATTATTATTAATAATGGTAATAATAATAATGGAAATAAAGATATTAATGCACAGGAAACCGTACCAGATAATCAATGGAAAACGGTTGGAAAAGCAGAAAGCCCAAGCCAGGGCCAGCGCCAGGTGAACCCTTGGTCAATAAGGGCGAGGCGACCAGCCGCAAAAAAAAAAGAAGAGGGTGAGAAAAAAGAAGAGTCTCGCCAAATTAATCATTAAGCCAGCTGAAGGCAAAACCTATGCAGAGGTGCTGGGAACGATACGTGGTAAGCTCCAACCCGAGAAGACGGAGGCCGTAATTCGATCTGTTCGGAAAACCCGCGAAGGCGCCGTGCTCATCGAAATAGAGCGCTGTGGCGACCACTCAGCATTTAAGGAAAATGTGTGCACTGCCATTGGCCAGCTTGGAGACGCCCGTATTCTCACTAGACGTTTACGTCTAGAAGTTCTGGGCATGGACTGCCTAACCACGGCCCCAGAAGTGGAGAACGCTATACGCGGGGAGTTAGGAGACAAGATGAATGGCCAACTTCGCGTCTCTCTCCTCGCTGTAAACTCGCGAGAACAAAGAATGGCCGTGGTGGAAATCGATGAACTGCCAGGCCGGACTCTTATTGAAAAGGGGAAGCTGCGAGTAGGTTGGATTATCTGCCGCGTCCGAGAGCGCGCGGATGTCCAAAGGTGTTTCCGCTGTCTGGGGTATGGCCACAAAAAGGCGGCATGCAAAGGCCCAGACAGAAGCAGTTCATGCTGGAAATGTGGTCAGCAGGGCCACATAGCCTCTGCGTGTAAAGAAAGCCCAAGCTGCTACCTGTGCTCGGCAGGAGATGGACAGAAAAATTCCCATCACCTGCCCGGGTCGGGAGCGTGCAAGGCCTTCAGGGATGCCCTTGCTGAGGCTAAGACAAAGCTTGGGAGAATATGATTAAATTTATACAAGGCAATATGAACAGGAGTAGGGTAGCTGATGACCTGCTGGACCAATTGGTTCTTGAACAAAGAGCAGACGCTGTCATCATCAGTGAACCCTATAGAACAAAAGAAACCTGGCATGTTGACCAATCAGGCTCGGCCGCGATATGGATTGCTAACCCCAACCATCGCGCAGAGAGCAGCGGGGTCGGACGCTGCTACGTCAGGGTTAAAATGGCGCATATCACTCTGGTGAGCTGCTACCTGTCTCCAAACGACCAGTCCCTGTCTTTAGGGAAAAGCTCGAAGACCTTGAAGACGAATTGCGCGATATAACCGGCCACATAATTGTTGCTGGAGATTTCAACGCAAGAGGCGTGGAATGGGGTATGCCCCAAACAAACACCAGGGGAAGACTGGTCCTTGAAATGGCAGCCCGCATTGGCCTGACCATCCTCAACACCGGAACGACCCCTACATATCGAAGGCCGGGTTTTGGATACTCTATCCCTGACATAACCCTGGTCTCAGAAAGCCTTCTTCGAAGGGCTGACGGATGGAGAGTGATGGAAGACCTGAGTGGTAGCGACCACAACTACATCACCTTCCAAGTCACTGACATAACGCGAGGGCAAACACGCAGTATCCCTCGCAGGAAACCAGGATGGAACCCGTCTAGGGTCGATGTTCGCAAGTTCGATACGTCACTCCTAGCAGATTCCCAAGGTATTTCACCCACAACGGGAGAGATCCACAACAGGGAGTCTTGTACTAAGCTGGTCGAAGAAAGCTGCAAAGCCTCAATGCCACAGAGGAGAGCATGGTTAGGTAAAAACCAGGTATACTGGTGGAACGACCGAATTGCTGAGCTGCGAAGGGCCCGCCATAGAATGCGGAGACTGGCAAAGCGCGCTCGTGGTAGACCTGAGGCGCTGACCAGAACCGCAGCTGGAGATAGATGAAATCAACCCCAAACACTTAGAGAGAATAGTGAGCGTGAACTTATAATATGAAAAGATAGTAGGGATAAGAAACGAATAAAATAGAGGCATAGAGAGATGAGGTAAGTTTAGGGACAATAAGGCTGTTATACAGGGTCTCCCAGACGTAACGTGCCAAACTTTAGGGGAAGGTAGGTGGGGGGGTGAGCTCCCTGATAAACAAAAAATTTTCTGGTAAAAGTGTCACCGTTTTTGAAATCTTTACATTTTTTCGAATTAAAAAAAAAACGTGCCTTTTCATGTGTTTTCTTTAACTGCAACTACAAACCGGGCAATACTTAGTAAATTTTTTATGTAAAATACTTCCAGATAGTTGCCTCTCCATATTCAAATGCAATGTAGTTAAAATATATTAAGGAACCATCATAAAATTAGGACTATTTCTGGATTTTTAACTTTTTGATATTTTCTTCCCCAACTTTGACTATCTCGGGTGAAAAAAAATGTACTGAGCTATAACTTTACATTACATAAAAAAATTGCTCATTTAATAAAGATTTCAGAAAGGTGCCACACTTACTGTTTTGAATAGAAAAAAAAAAATTATAGCCGCTTTTGTGGGTAAAGGACTGAGACACGCTAGAATGTATTTAATAGATTTAAATTGAATTTGCTCTTGTTACCGTCAAATGACATGCTAAATAGTACAAAGGTACATAATTACTTGCTCCTGACATTATTTTATGTTACTTACCGGAATTAGTGAAAGTGGATTTTGTGAAATTGGACCCTTCGAACATTGTGTTATTAATACTATGACAGAGAACACGCAGTATACGTCGCATGAATATGCGGATATTCACCTAATTTACGGTGAAGCTTGCTGTAATGCCAGAGCTGCTCAAAGACTCTATGCAGAGTGATACCCAAATCGCCGGCATCCGGGTCGTGAAGTATTCGCCCGGACCCATAGAGATATATCTGAAGGTAAGCAATTTTTACACCTTTCTTGTTTGAAGCCATTCTTCTTTTAACTATCATTTTTACCTTTTTTAAGGTCGCATACCTGGAGAGCGTGGTGGCGAGACAGGGCGTCCTGCAACGGTAGATGTTAAAGTTGTGTTAGAGGAAGTGGAACTAGGTCCATAGACTTCAGGGAGAATGATGGAAAGGCGGGCTATAATACCAAAAACTACAATTCACAAAGCTTTAAAAGACCATCCCTACCACATTCAACGTGTTAAGGCTCTACGAGAGAGAGATTACCTGTCGAGGGTTAGGTTTTGCAGTGAAATGTTGCGAATGCACGTTTCAGACCCCAACTTCTTTAATAAAATAATTTGGAGCGATGAATCATCATGCAAACGTGATGGTTATTTTAATTTACATAACCTTCACAGTTGGCAGATAGACAATCCTCACGAATTGAGAGAAGATCGTTCGCAGTACCGGTACAAAATAAATTTATGGTGCGGTATTTTTAATTGTCAGATATTGGGACCTGTGGAACGCCAACGCTCAACTCTCACAGTTACTTAGAGTTCCTTCAGGGTATATCGGCTTCCAACTCTTTTGGAAGATGTACCCTTAAACCTGCGGCGAAGACTATGGCTGCAAAATGACGGGTGCCCTGCTCACTACGGGCGTGAAGTAAGAGCTCATTTAGACGAAACTTATCCTCGCCGATGGATTGGACGATACGGGCCAATCACGTGGCCCGCTCGATCGCCAGACCTGAATCCATTAGATTTTTTCTACTGGGGCTGTCTTAAGGACAAAATTTATTCAAAAACAATTCAAAACGAAGAGCATTTGCGGGAACAAATAAATGGAGCTGCTGCTGAGATAGCCCAATTGAGTTTAAGATCTCTAAAAGCGTCTTTTCTTAAAAGGTGCCGAGCTTGTATTAGAGTAGAAGGTCGCCAATTTGAGCATATTTTATCAATAAATGAATAAATTTCTCTTCAAACGACTCATGTATATTTTATTTCACGTGAATCCATGCTTCACAAAAAATATTGATAGATATAGCCCTTGTTATAGACTCTAGTCCGAATTCCGGTAAGTAACACAAAATAATGTCAGGAGCAGGTAATAATGTACCTTTGTACTATTTAGCATGTCATTTGACGGTAACAAGAGCAAATTCAATTTAAATCTATTAAATACATTCTAGCGTGTCTCAGTCCTTTACCCACAAAAGCGGCTATAACTTTTTTTTTTATTTTCAAAACAGTAAGTGTGGCACCTTTCTGAAATCTTTATTAAATGAGCAATTTTTTTATGTAATGTAAAGTTATAGCTCAGTACATTTTTTTTTCACCCGAGATAGTCAAAGTTGGGGAAGAAAATATCAAAAAGTTAAAAATCCAGAAATAGTCCTAATTTTATGATGGTTCCTTAATATATTTTAACTACATTGCATTTGAGTATGGAGAGGCAACTATGTAGAAGTATTTTACATAAAACATTTACTAAGTATTGCCCGATTTGTAGTTGCAGTTAAAGACAACACATGAAAAGGCACGATTTTTTTTAAATTCGAAAAAATGTAAATATTTCAAAAACGGTGACACTTTTACCTGAAAATTTTTTGTTTATCAGTGAGCTCACCCCCCCACCTACCTTCCCCTAAAGTTTGGCACGTTACTTCTGGGACACCCTGCCCTGTATATTTACTAAATACTCCTGCACTGTGCTTTTTAGTATGTACATTTGTATTTTGTATCTAATATAAATGTTTTTCTGTGTTTGCATTTTAGATTTTCCTGAGTCTATTCCTGCCATAGATGATTTGAAAATTTGTATGGAAAAGATAGATATGAAAAAGCATTTCATCCAAACGCTTACTAACACGCTAAAAGTACGAGTACTTCATCCTGGTGTAAATACTATGGATATTTTAACAGGATATATTGCAGCTATCAAAGCAATAAGATATCTCGATAACAGTGGAATTATATTGGAAACTGTGACGGCGCCAATCAGAGACTATCTTCGAAAACGCAGTGATACAGTTCGTCGAGTAGTTACGGGACTTACTGAAGAAGGCCCTACAGACCTTACGGAGGAATTAGCTAAAAGTGAAGCTTTAAAAGAAAATGAAAAGCTTGATGTCAATGAGGAATTGAGCAATTGGGAAAATTGGTTGCCAGACTCGTATGGAATTGATCAGACAACGCGTATTAAACTTACGAATGTCAACCGTTCAGCAGATATAATATCTATGGTAGTTGATATATATGGTAGCAAGGAGTTGTTCATGAACGAGTATCGCAATTTAATGGCAGATCGTTTACTTACTTATTTGGATTTTAACGCCGACAAGGAAATCCGAAATTTAGAATTGCTCAAACTCAGATTCGGAGATTCTTTACTTCATAGTTGTGAAGTTATGCTGAAAGATCTCACCGACTCAAAGCGCATAAATTCGCATATATCAAGCGATTCTAAGTATAACGAAAGTGAGTGTTTGATTTAAATTATAAAAGCCTTTTATTTTTCAATTTCTTAGATGCATATTTAATTATATTATTATCATATCATATCGTATCATATTTAATTATCCAAAAATGGTTTAGAATGATTTTGACCTGTGACGCTTGGCTATCCTTCATATGTAAGAGTCGCCCCGTTTGAATACAAAGTGAGATGTTTAGTCCATCCGCTGAGGACAATCGAGCATAGATTTTGAGCGATATAAGTATTATGCTGTATTTCCACTAGGCATTAAATGCCAAAAATAATAAATGACAAAGTTGGGCATTAAAAAATATTCGTGTCATTACGTTAAAAAAAAATTGTCATTATGTTCATTTCCACATGGAAATTTTTTAAATGGCATATATTATTTGTCATTTCTATGCCTAGTAGAAATTCGGCATTAAACATGAGTTTTTGGTTAGTTTTGGATAAAGTGGTGCCGTCGAAAATTTCAAATCAATTTCAATTATGCAGTACTCAGGCGAACTAGGCCCTTTTCACTTCTGATAAACGTAAGAAAGTACATGTATTTTGATGTAGCGATACTGGTATCGGGTCAGTTTCTTTCGGTCATAAGTGAAATTATGAAATGGGCTCTAAAGACGGTAGATTCCTGAGCCATAAACTGTTATCTTCTGTTAAAATTAAACAGCCCTACAGACCTAACGGAGGAATTAGCTACAAGTGGAGCCTTTATAGAAAATGAAAAGCTTGATGTCAATGAGGAATTGAGCAATTGGGAAAATTGGTTGCCAGACTCGTATGGAATTGATCAGACAACGCGTATTAAATTTACGAATGTCAACCGTTCAGCAGATATAATATCTATGGTAGTTGATATATGAGTAGTCCACATGCAAAGTGCTCTATTTAACATTTTTTCGATTTTTATTTTTTGGTGGTTAACGTGGCAGTTTTTAAAGTAGTTTCGTGTCCACTAACAATACAGTGCAAAATCCTTATATATTCTGAAAAAATAGCATCAAATGTTAGCTACTCTAGCAAAAGCCGCTATAATACTTACTGTATAGGGTATTCTCGAAGTCTTGTATGATGCACGGATTGCACGAAATGCAAAAATACTATTCCAAATTTCGAAGAGTACGAGAGCACCCCATTGCAAAGTGGTAGAATGCATGGGTAGAAAGCAGCGAAATTATGTTCAAATACAATAACAAGAGACAGCAAAACAAAAATGAATTGAGCGAGATGAGGGGAATGAGAGAAATCTGTAGCAATTCCAACAACAAAACAACTAGCACAGGGTTGCTTTTTGCTCTGCTGTTTTGCAAAATATATACATGGGTTTCGACGTTGCATATTTTGCAGCGATAGGAAATGTTTTTTCCCTTGTATTTTGTTGTTGTGTGTTTGCAAGTTATGCAATCCATGCAATCCATGCTACGTGCAATGGCTTTGCAAGATTTGTAGAATACCCCTTATGTATATATACACTTTCAAAAGCCGTTATAATATCTATTGTACGTATGTATTTATACAAGTTCAAAAGTCTCCATCTTCTGATGAACTTAGAAAACTGCAAGAACACGTGGTTGTTTCGGTGCCTAGTGGAAGACGTCGTAAAAAAGAAGCAGACCAATCTTCATGGAAGAGAGAACGCGAAAAGCTAAAAAAAGCTAGCTATGTAAAAGTTACTGTTTCAAAACTCGCTATATTCATTTTTTATATATAAAATTTGCAAAAACAACAATACTTCGAACTTGTTTTTTAATGTTATTAGGCTCTTATTTATCCAAATTTTCAGATAATAAAGAAAAAATATACAATTTGGATTTTACTTGCTGTTGTAGACGTTTTTTGAAATTTATTAAGCCATAAATATCAAATCATATAACGCTGTTTGCAAGTGGACTACTCATATATGGTAGCAAGGAGTTGTTCATAAACGAGTATCGCAATTTAATGGCAGCTCGTTTACTTACTTATTATGCTGGATGGAAATGACAAAGTTGGGCATTAGAAAATATTCGTGTCATTACGTTGAAAAAATTTGTCATTATGTTCATTTCCACATGGCATTTTTTTAAATGGCATTGTTTGTCATTTCAATGTCTAGTGGAAATTCGGCATTAAACATGATTTTCTATGTTTTTTGGTTAGTTTTGCATAAGGTGGTGCCGTCGAAAATTTCAAATCAATTTCAATTATGCAACACTCTGGCGAATTAGGCCCTTTTCACTTCTGATATCTGCCATTTCGGACTATACGAAGTCTTATAGCAGCATCGGACGATAACGTAAGAACGTACATTTATTTTGGGTTTACGCCGACGATATAGCGATACTGGTATCGGGCCAGTTTCTTTCAGTTATAAGTGAAATTATGAACTGTTCTATTCTGTACAAATTAAACAAAATTTGCTAAACCAAGGTTCCGATCTTGATCTGTCAAACAAGGTGAAATACCTAGGAGCTATTCTGGATTCCAAACTTAACTGAAAAAAAACATGGAAGAGGTTTCAAGGAAGGCCACGGTGCATCTCTATGCAGCCAAGAGAATGTTGGACAACAGATGGGGTACGCAGCTACATTTCGACCTATGTATAATCTCTAACGGGGCGCTGATCTGGTGGCCAGCCCTTACTAAGGATTACGTAGTTAAAAAGCTAAGCGGAATTCAAAGGTCAGCAGCCGCTAGCGTAACAAGTGCAATTAGACCCCGTCAGAAGGTTGTTTTGAACGTCCTTCTTGACTTATTACTCACAGATATATTTATCGAAAACTCAGCTGCTAGCAGCACCATTAGACTGCGTGCCCTGGGGTTCTGGAAGGAAGGACCGTTCGGCACGGTTTCATCCTAGACGCACTACCCTCTGAAAGGAAAGCGGTGCTCATCGATTATATCCTGTTGTTGTTGTTGTAGCGGCTACAACAACCCCGTCCAGATCGGTTAATGTCTCAGTCGTTGTCGTCAAGCTCAACTAACAGAAGCCCCAAGAAGTGTGCAGCCTCAATGGGGTCGGTCCACAGGGACAAAAGCGTTAGCTGTATCGGGTTTTCCGGGCATACAAAGAGATGTTTCCAGTCTCGGGGTGACTCGCCGCATGCCGGACACTCATTTGGCACATCTGCGTCTAATCTGCTCAGGTGTGAGTTTAACCTGCTGCAGTAGCCAGAGCGAAGTTGGGCTCTTGTGGTTCTGGTCTCCCGAGGCAGATGAAGCTCCGTCTCGTCGATGTCAGGTGGTTGTTTGCATAGAACGGCATTCACAGGTCTGGAGTCGGGCCTGTGGGTAAGCTGAGGGGTCCAGAGGTTGCTTAATGAACCTCTGGACTGCGTCCGTCAGCTCGTAAAGAGCCTTCTGACATGCCTTGGCGGGGGCTCCTCTGCAAGCAAGTGTCTGTTGGGTGTCTACGTCTGTGGTTCCCTACTAGAAATTGCTTGCAGAGCATTGTGTTGTGCTCCTTTATGGGGAACAGTTTCGCCTCGTCATGCAGGTGGTGTTCTGGCGACATCAGAAGACATCCAGCTGCTGTCCGAATTGCAGTGTTTTGAGTTGCCTGCAGCTTCATCCACTGCGTCCTACTAGTCCCCGGCGACCACATTGGTGCTGCGTGCACAGAGAAGGAGAGCAGACTGTCGAAGGTTAATCCGAGTATTTTGGGGTTATTCCCCGTCGGAATTGATGTATCATCGACGTGAATTCCCAGCGGTAGTCTGACTTCGTTCGTCCAGGTGGTGAACAAGGTCGCAGAGGATTTTGTAGGTTAGAGCGTTAGGCTCCTAGCAACGAAGAAGGGAGAAAGCTTGGACAGATATCCGTTTACTTTCGAGTACCAGTAGGGACACGATATCGAACCGAAAGTATCGATATGGTACTCATTTAAAGTATCGCTATAAAAATATCGGGTACCCATTAATATCGGAATAAAAAGACTCGATATTCCAAATATCGATACTAAAATCCACAAAATTTATCTGAATATAGGTTTCGCATATAGGCCGTTTGGGTGTAGTGGTTAGAAGTGCGCAAACCTTGAAAACGAAAAAAACCTTTCAGAGTCGACATAAAACTATAGGCACCCCCTTTGTGCCACAACATTAAGGCCCACGCGACAAATCGGAGGAGAAGTTCGGCCAAACACTAAAGGGCCATTCACATACAACTTTCCTCGCTTTCCTTGACAGTTCAAACTTTGACAACAAAGCGTGAAACGCAGAAGGTATGCTACAATAAACGCTTTGACAGCTTTTGCGTTCTCCTTTTCCTACATATTTTTTATCTGTAAAATAGATAGCAATATAATAATATGCATTAATAATAGCAATAAAAATTCCTATTTACCCTATTTTTGTCGTTAAATCCATATGCAAGCGCACGAGAAAAGATACATGTAGACAGCTGATTGCCAAAGCGGGCAAAAGTTGAGAGTTGCCCAAGATTTTGCTTCGTTTTGCTTTGCTTTGCTTCAAACGTTTTTTATGTGAGCATACTCATGCATATGCCTACATCGATCTTATTTGTCAAAGCAAAGAACTATCAAGCAAAGCGAAGAAAGTTGTATGTGAATCAGCCTTAACATATTGTGTAAGCGCCGGACTTTATTATTATTACAACACGTAGAGATTGAGGTGCTGACTTAAACACCGAAGCCGCGGGTTCAAATCCCACCACATGCAATCCTAACTATAGTACAAATTTCTGCAGTTTAAAGCCCAATAAAGTCCGGTGATATTAGGTTCACTGAGAAAAAAACGCATTATTAGAATACAATTTTTTTATTTGATTACCGTTTAAAAATGTTCGCATTTAAATCAAGTAAAAAGTTTTAACAAAATGGATTTTTCCATTATACATACACTACGTACATACAATGGAAATATTCAATTCAAATACTCCCGTATTAAAATGAAGCATTTTTCACGACACGGATGGCGTTTTGTACGTCTCGGATGCTTTTTCATATGAAATTAAGAAAGTATATGTATACAAAGCATGCACAGCGGTGACAACACATACA